TATTTGTATTAAAAATAAAAAATTATAACTTTATAAGATCTGAGTAAAGACTAAAATATTAAAAGTTTAATAATGGTAGAATTTAAGATTTAATAAAATAAGGTTTAAAATATTTAGTTTAAATGTAGAGCTTAATTGATTATTGCGTGGATGTTAATATGAATATATTATTGTGATACTTGCTTTTGAAATAGATAATTGAAATGTTATGAGATTTAATGTTTGATGATATATTTAATTATGTTATGGATTCACTATTTTTTTCCTTTTTCTTTTGTAAGTAGTATGTACTAAGCAGAATCAAATAGGGAATTTGGAGTTACCTTAAATGTTAATTTAGAGGTGCGATGGAAAGGCATCATACTTTGATTTGTGATTTCAGGAGAAATTTTTTTATTTTACTATGGGGAATGAAATATATAGATAATTGGAAAATAATGGACAAAGGATAGAAATATAATGATTTAAATTAAGTTAATAAACAAAATAGAATTAAGAAGAGAGGAAAGCGGGGAGAAGCTACAAAGAAATTACAGAATGGTAATTAAGATAGGTAATGGCATATAAGATGAATATGAATTTAATTGAAGTCCATACAAAGAGTGGTAATCCGGGGCCAAGCTACTTTTTTGAAAAAGAAGTTTTACTTTATGTGTTTTGTGTGTTTCTGTTTATGTGAGAGCTGGTAAAACCTTGGAGGAAAGCGGGAGGAGCATAATTGTAAACAAGACAGAGGGAAATATGAATATGATGATTAAATTTAATGAGAAGAAATATTAAAATCACATTGTATAAAATATTGTATTATCTGCCTTGTAAAAATTCACAAGGGAAAGAGGTTTAATGTGTATAAGGTTTATGTTTTGTTTGTCTTTAAAAGCTAATAAAAACTTGTTTAAAAAAAAAAAAAGAATTTTTCTTTTCTTTTTTATTTTTTTATTTTTCACTTTTCCGCCTTTTTTAGGATTTAACAACTTTCTCTCTTTTGTATGTGTTTATGGTCTTTTCCTTCATTTTTGAGTTTTTATTGTTATTCAACCAATCAATTGGATTAAGGTGTACAAGAACCTGAAGAAATTTTTTTTTTTTTATTATTATTATTATTATTATTATTATTATTATTATTATTATTATT